TATATATATATATATATATGGAAAAGTTTATATAGAGCCAAGGCTCTAAACAATCAAATTTGAACCTACCTCAAAAAGTTCACTAGAAGAGGTTGTTTTGATGCCCAAATATCTTCAAATTGATCATCTCAACATAAAGATGCATGGACATGAGAAAAAATTGAATTTTAAGTTTTGGAAATTGATCATTTCAAATTTTTCTCATATCCATACATCTTGATGTCAAGATGACCAATTTGAAAATATTTGAGTATCAAAACAACCTTTTCTAATGAAATTTTTTAGGCAGGCTCTAATTTGATTGTTTAGAGCCTCGGCTATATATAAACTTTTCCCTTAAAAAAAAAAAAAAAAAGGGGGGTTTTAAGGGTCGTCAGACTTCTTTGCTTGGAGCGGACCTGTACCAGTTGAGTCCTGCCCCAGATCGGGCATGTTTTGAATGGGAAAATTACGAAAACTTTTGAGACTTAATTTTCTAAGTTAAATCATATGACCAATCTTGATAGTGTCCTTTTATACATTTTTGCCATAAAAAATTACTCTTTTATTTGAGGGTGGAAGAAAAAAATAAAACATTTTTAGGTTAGTGATATGGTTTAACACAATGTTTGACCGACCTCAAAACTCGACCATGAGCTAGGTCTGAGGAACTTGGAACTGGTTCGGGTAGCCAACCCGAAGAGGGCAGATCCTGACTAGGGGTAAAAAGGGTTAAAAAAATCTAAAACAAAACTATAAAGATTAAAAAATAATATGAAAATTATATTTCAAGTATAATTCAACAATATACATAAAAAATAGATTAGAAAAATTAGTGAAAAAATAGATTTTGAAAAATCTAATTGTACCTAGGGTATTTTAAAAATATTCCGAAAAGATGAAAAAAATGTAAAAATAGGTATTTATGGTCAAGATACTTCCCAACCCTTTTTAAAACATTAAAAAACCTATTACAAACAAAAATTTTATTTTTTGTAATTTTTTTTTAAGTTAGGGGGCAGTTGACCACCCTAACTGGCCGTAGCCCGTTCCGAGTAACCCAACCGGGTTTGTGAACAGTGGTTTAAAACGTATCACATAGGGTCACGTCTAGGGGTGGCAAACCCAACCTAGAGTTGTACTCATACCTGAAAATATACTAATGGGACCTGGACTCGGACTTAGACCCGATTGGGTACAAAGTTCCCGAACGTGGACCCGGAACCAGACCAAAAAATATGATATGGGACTAAGAATCGGACCTGGGCCCATCCCAAAAATCAAACTATCTATATATTTAAATATATTTTATCAATGTGTTAAATATATATGCATTATTTTAATATTGTAATTTTAAATATATAGTTAAAATTATTTAAGTATTATATATTAAATATTATTTAAATAACATAACTATTTGAGTTGGGTCCGGGCTACTAAGATCCGCACCTGACCTGCCAGGTCAAAATTTTAGACCCATACTTGGACCTTGATCGGGTCTTGCCCATTTGTTCTTGGGTCAGATTCGGGTCCATTGCCACACTAGATTCATATCTAAAAATTTGAGAAGTCCAGGGAAATAATCAAATTAGAGCCTAATTCAAAAAAAATTAGAGCCTATCTCAAAATTTTTATGAAAGATGTTTTGATGTCTAAATATATTGAAATCGATTAAAAAAAATAAATTCGAAGTTTTGAATCTGGACATCAAGATGCATGAACAAAAAATAAATTTCAAGTTTTGAAAACAAAGCATCATGTGATCCATTTTTTGGAGCGTCAATTTTCAAGATTTTCAAAATTTCAACAGATGTGCATGCTCTACCCTTCTAATGAATGATTGAAGAAAAACCCAATTCGTCTATTTTTATCTACCATTTCCTCTAATTGAAAACTTGAAAGTCGCGTTCTTTTCAGTTTTCCATTATCATTTATTATTCACAAGTGGAAAATATCCAATTCATTGTCCATCTAGTTTCTGACCAGAAGCGGGCCATTACTCAACCGAAGTTGAGCAAAACAAGAACCCATTGCCAGTCGAGAGAGAGAGAGAGAGATTGCCAATCTAGAGGGGGAGGTTGCAAATCTAGCGAGCGATGGCTTCATCTCACACACTGAGGAAGTTGCAGGTGGTTTCTCCAGTGCCTGCCGACATAGACATTGCCAACTCTGTCGAGCCTTTCCACATAGCTGAGATAGCCAAAGAACTCAATCTCACCCCCAATCAATACGATCTTTATGGAAAATACAAGGCCAAGGCAATCAATTGAAAACCCATATCTCCTTTCTTTTATTTTCTGTGCTGTTTTTCTCCTTCTCTAATTCGTTAGTAAATGCCATTTTTTGTTGTTGTTCTTAATCTTTGAGATATGGGATCTTATTATTTTTGTTTTCTCAGAATTTGATGAACTGGGAAAGCATTAGGCTTTCTGGTTTCTTCATTATTGCTGAATTCAATAATCAAGGAAACTGAAAAAACAAAATGATTTGTCCTGTTCTCCTCATGTTAGATTGGGCTTTATTGGTACATATATCAGTTCTTGATAAATATATAATAAATAATCTAGTTTCCTCAGAGTTAGATTTGGTGGCTTTTCAGGATTCATTTCTTAATTTTTCCCCTCTTTTTTGGTTATCAACACTTCATGAACTTCTGAGAAAAATTGAGCTATAGTTGGTTGATTGTTTAGTATAAGAGTTGATGAGTCTTCAATACTTCAAGAGAAAGCTTGGCTGGTTTTTTTATTACTTGATTTGGTAGGTTTGTTTGATTTATCACAGCTGATTAACTCCGAAATGCTTTGTTGTTTCTTGATTATTCCAATTGGTGGTTTTTAAAGCTGCTTTTATCGTTGCCTGATCAAATGCAGAAGAGTATATTTTATTCTGATTTCCAAATTGTCATCTTTGAAATATTTTCTCGGGGACATTTATTTGCAATTGATGATATCCAAAATTTTTTGCTTTTGTGTTTGTCATTGTGTTTATTTGTTGGGTTTTGTGTAATCTTCTCAGGGCCTAAACAACTGCAAAGGCACCTGTTTTCATTTTGGTCTTCTTAATGTAAACTTTGCTGGTATTTGTAGGTTCTGTTATCTTTGGTTGATGAACTGCAAGATTCTGGAGATGGGTATTATGTTGTTGTTGGGGGGATCACTCCTACCCCACTTGGTGAAGGAAAGTCTACTACAACTGTGGGCCTCTGTCAAGCTTTGGGGGCCTTTTTGGATAAAAAGGTAAAGTTTCTGGACGCTTCTCTGACATTTATTACGAGGGTTTCTTCTGGTTTTTAGGTTGTTTGGCTTAAATATTTAGTCATCATTCTTATGCTTCTTCTGATAACCTGGCTTTACTTATGTTTTGGGAATCTTCTCTGATTTTCATATTGAAAGGTGTCTCCCATCTGAAACTCCTGAAATGTGATAGCTTGTGGATTTTTTCCACCTATTTTTTGGTTCTTTTACTCTCTGTTTTTTCCCAATGAACCTTGTTGTGAAAGACATAGATTGAAATATTGCAAAAGTAGTGTTGTTTGATTTGAATTAGTGCTTCTGGTTTTGTTTTTTTGTTGTTCTCTCAGTGGATTTCGTTTGAACGCTAGCTGTAAACTGGAAGACTTCAGAAAAGAGTGGTGTATTGGATGTGCTGCAAAAGTGTGTCTTTCAATGACTGAGAGAAATGAGTGAGAGACCCTTCAAATTGGAACCTCCGTTTAGTTGTTTGAGAAGTGCATTTTTCAGTGAGTTTTCCGAATGTTTTTGATATATTTATGAGTGACATTGGCAGACTATCGATAATTCGCTTAATTTTGTTTCTGACCAGGGATGCTGTTAATGTATTAATTTATCTGTCGTAAAACATGTTTCATATTTGTCTAGTTCATTTCTTTTTCACTTGCAGTTGTACAAACTATGAACATTTCAAATTGGTATTATTTTTTAATTTACTTAATCATAAATATACAGGGCAAGTGTTTAATTGAAGAGTAGCAATTTGTATTGACTTACATGATAAAATCCCAGTCTTGTGGATTTATGCACTTCTGGCATTTAAAAAGAGGGCCTCTTTTATACCTGTTTTTGTTTATGATAAGAAAATATTTTGTATATATTGCGGAAAAGAGAGGTCTTATATTTCTCCAAAGACGTTCCTTCTGTAAACCACTTTTTTTTGCATGTTGTTTGGAACTGTCCTTTTGAGCTATCCTAATAGCCTAATTTGAATTGCCGTTTTTCTTGGCTTGCTCACTTTGCACCACATCATTTCAGGATTGTAATATCAGTTGTTTCTCCTATTTTATCTGATAGCAAAGACTAACTAATTAAGGTTTTCTGGTGGAGTATTAGGTAGTTTTAATTCGAAGTATTTTTGGCCACACAGATCTATAAATGACCCATTCAGTCTCTCTAGTTCTCTCCCCTTTGGCCTCTCTAATTTTCTCTAGCTCACTTGCCTTTGTAAGAAATCTAGCAATAAAGTCAGAATTCTATCCCAAAAGAAAATCTGATTCCAAGACAATGATGCTAGCCACTCCACCAAATGTCTTTCCATTGTTGTACTTATAAAGGGAGTGGACATTTACATGAATTCCATAACTTTACAATTTAGTCTATTTGTTTCTTGGTTTTTAGTTGTCAATCACTTCAAGGGCCAAATTTGTAACCTTATGTGCCCCCTTAGAAACTTGAGGATGAAACCAGGACAGTTTTTTCTCTTCTACTATTTATAGATTTGAGGGATGGATCCAATTAGTTATGATCATAGACACACGTGTCCAGTGTTTGACCACATCTTGACCCTTGGGTGACACTGACACATGTTCCAACACTTTTAGAATGGATATGAAACCCATTTTTCATAAAACATTTTTTTATTTTTTATTTTAAGATATAAAAAGTTGAATCCCATTTTCATTTTTTAAAGAGGCACAATTTTCTGTATTTACACTAGTTGATTTTGAAAAGCTAAATTTACAAAAGTCAATTTTAAAAGTAGTCCATATTTACATATGAAAATTGTCCATATTGACATATAGAAATTGTCTGTGTTTGCATAGCTCAATTTAAAAAACGGCCATCAATTTTTTTTAAAAAAAAATGGTTTAGAATTAGAAATTAAAAATATATATATTTTTTTTGGGGTAGATCAATGGGGAATACATGCCCCTACCTGTTTAGAAATAGTTAGTGGTTTTCAAATGCGTTTGTGGGAATGGAAACCTAGACCGGTAGCTGAGGAGGCTCAGGTAGTGCTACCACCATGACCTCAACCTCATTCCCCATTTTTATTTTAAATTAATAAGCAGCATAACTGTTTTGAACTGTTTTCCACATTGTTCTGATGCAACCTTGGATTGGACTATGAGAAATTTTTGATGAATAACATTCCGATTCACAAAGTAATAATACTTTAATTTAATTTTTTTGTGATGCTTTACTATTGTTATGACATTTTAGTTGTGGTATATTTAGATGCAATGCGAATTGCAGATATTTTTCAAGATGCTTATGTATATACACATATGCATACGTGTATACACCCGTATACTATATAAATGTGTTGTGTCTAGATGAAATTTTTTTTGGGTTCACGTTTATGACACCCATCACCTTGTCACAAATCAACGCTCCAACTGCCTACGTGGCCCAGCCAGGGGGGGGCCTAAGCCGAAGCGGCCTAGGTTCAAAAGGCGGTGAGGGGTATCCGGTAATCCTGTTTTAGGTCTAGATCTTCTATTAAAAATGTGTATTTTTATAAGGGAAAATTTTGTATAGAACCCTAATTCCTCATATTATTTCATGGTAGATACTCCTTCCGTTTTTCTTTCAAGCGGTATAAGGAAACCCCTAAAGATTTCACCATACCCCCTCATCTCTTATCTCCCTCTTTTATTGACTTTTAATCATAAAAATTAACCTCAAAAATCTTTTTATACTATTTCAACCCAAAAACGTTTTTAATGGGTGGAAAGGGAAAAAGAGGGTTAAAAATGTTTTTGGGTTGATATCGTATAAAAAGATTTGTTGGGGCTAATTTTTATGGTCAAAAGTTAATAAAAGAGTGAGATAAGAGATGAGGGAGTGCGGTGAAATCTTTAGGGGTTTCCTTATGCCGTTTGAAAGAAAAACGGAAGGAGGATCTACCATAAAATAATATGAAGAATTAGGGTTCTATATGAAATTTTCCCTTTTTATAATCCAAATATAAATAAAAAAGAAAAACACCAAAAATACAGCACCCGATGGGTATATTTGCACTTGCGCAGTCCTTGGGCGCCGTCTAGGTGGATCCATAGGTAGGCTCCCAAGGATAGCCCACCTAGTTGGTCTGCCAGGCCTGGGCAATGCGCCTAGTTCTCCTAGGCAGACCGCTTTTTGAATCTGTCACAAATAGACATGTGTGTCAATTTCTATGTAACATAGGTTATGCTTTGAATCTATTGAAAAAGTAAACTTCGGGAAAAAGTTGAATTTGAATTGTTGTCACTATTTAACAAGATTGAGTGCATCTTTACATATGGAATGGGTATGTGACAACAAATATCATCATCATGAAAGCCTTTTCTCAACTAAAATAGGGCCAACTACATGAATTATGGCCTGCCATTCTGCTCTATTAAGGGCCATATCCTCAATGAGGCCATAAGTCCGCATATCTTTATACTGATAACAAGTAAAGGAAAATATAGCATAATGGCATGTGTGTGCTATACAATCCGGCCTCTTGTCTTAAGATGGATGGTGATGGTGAACTGTAATCTGGAGATTAGGAGCACTAATGTAGAAAAATGGTTCATCTCCTGCATCTTGTGACCGGGTACTGGATGCCATGTCCGTATGTTTTATGTATGCTGTATTGTCCTAAAAGAATGAAGACTGCAAAAGAAAGCCATCCCTTTCCAAACTGGTGCAAAAGAAAGCCATCCCTTTCCAAACTGGTGCATAAATGTTATGTGTTGTCTAGTTGCTCCTAAGAAAATAATGTAAAACTTTCAGTAATGCTCACACAAGTTTGTTTTCTAACTGCAGCTCCCATCTCACTTGACGAACTTTAATCAGTCAGGATATCTTTCTTTCTTTCCGTTTTTTGGAGAGAACTTGCAATCCACTACTTCATTTTTTCCTTGAATATTGGATAGGAGATTATCATGTTATACATATAGCCTAATATAAGTGAAGGGTTGTAGCATGTTGATTTGACCCATATTTAACCCAAATGTAACTCTCTCTCCCCCCCCCCCCCTCCCTCTCTCTGTATCTCTCTCTCTCTCTCTCTCTTTTTTGCTCTGCCCTCTTCAACCACATTTCTTTAATGGGATTAAATCCCTCTTTGGCTACATCCCGCGTGCTTACTGTGTCAGAGAGAAATGAGGCCTGGTTCAAAAGTACCAGTCCTTAGAGAGTCCATTCCTCCAACTTCAAATATTTGAATCAAAACATGATAGCTTGCAGAATATGTGTCTGGCATCGTCATGCATGATGCATTGCCATTGTCAAGAAGTCCTGTTTTTCCTTCTTGCTATCTTGTTTCTTTTTTCCTCATTTATGCTGATTATTAAGGCCAACAAGAAATGTGTATTCATTGTTAACCATGACAGAAATCTTTTAACATTTTTGTCTGGAAAATTACTTCATGAACTTACTAGTTGATTGTGTTTCTTTACTAGTTGTTTGTGTTTCTTTTCACCATATTCAGATCTCCACATGGAGTACTTTTCTTCTCATCCGTTCATTTGTTACTATGGCCATCCATTGGCTGTAAAGCCATGCCAGTGTGGCTTCCCCTAAGCCATTGTGTCTGGTCCATCCACTCCCATGGATGTTTAAACTTCATGGTGTTGAGCCCCACATTTAAGGAATGGTGAGACCCACAGTTGATTGAGCATCACAGGGAAATCTATTTCCAGGTGTGCCAACCTTATGGAAGCAACCTAAGCCTGGCTTAACATGCTATAACGCTAATAATATGTATCTCAACATATTACCAGGTAACCTCTTGGACTAAATGGTCCCCTGTCCCAAATAGACTGTGACGCTGTAAAACCTCTTATATTTACAGCAGATGGGATCACAAACTATTATAGATGTCCGTTACTAGCTTACTAGGTACTTCGAAATTGTCAGTGCAGGACGATGAAAGACACTGAATTTTTTTCTCTAAATATAGCTTTTATCATTCTGATCATGGGAGGTTCCCTTGCATAAACGAAAGTAGCAGGTGATCAATAGATCAAAGAATTGGATTGTGCAATATGGGCAGACTCCTGAAATTTTAGTTTCAGGAAACCTTTTCAATTCTGAAAACATGAACTTTTCCTATGTATCAGGTGATGACTTGTTTGCGTCAACCGAGTCAAGGGCCAACCTTTGGTATCAAAGGAGGAGCAGCAGGGGGAGGTTATAGCCAAGTGATCCCAATGGATGAATTTAATCTTCACTTAACTGGCGATATTCATGCTATCACAGCTGCTAATAACCTTTTAGCTGCGGCAATTGATACTCGAATCTTTCATGAAGCTTCACAATCTGATAAGGCCTTAATGAACAGGCTTTGCCCACCCAACAAAGAGAAGAAGCGGGTTTTTGCTGATGTTATGATCAAGCGCCTTGACAAACTCGGAATCTCCAAGCGGAACCCTGATGACCTCACACCAGAAGAGGTCAGGAGATTTGCCAGGCTTGATATTGACCCCGATTCCATCACTTGGAGAAGAGTTATGGATGTAAATGACCGTTTCCTAAGGAAAATCACAGTGGGTCAGGGTCCTGAAGAGAAGGGAATGGTGAGAGAAACAGGGTTTGACATATCGGTGGCTAGTGAGATAATGGCTGTTCTAGCTCTTACGACTTCACTCTCAGACATGAGAGAGAGACTAGGGAAAATGGTTATAGGTAACAGTAGGGCAGGGGATACCATAACCGCTGATGATTTAGGCATTGGGGGAGCCTTAACAGTACTCATGAAAGATGCCATTAACCCAACTTTGATGCAAACTCTTGAAGGTACCCCAGTTCTTGTACACGCTGGCCCTTTTGCGAACATTGCTCATGGTAATTCATCCATAGTTGCTGATAAAATAGCTTTGAAGCTTGTTGGGCAAGGTGGGTTTGTAGTAACAGAGGCAGGGTTTGGTGCTGATATAGGAACTGAGAAATTCATGAACATAAAGTGCAGGTATAGTGGGTTGAAGCCTCAGTGTGCTGTCATAGTCGCCACCATTAGAGCTCTGAAAATGCATGGCGGGGGCCCTGAGGTGGTGGCGGGGAAGCCTCTTGACCGTGCTTACTTGAGTGAGAATGTAGGTCTTGTAGAGAATGGGTGTGTTAATTTAGCCAGACATATATCAAACACAAAGGCCTATGGGGTGAATGTAGTGGTTGCGATCAATATGTTTGCCTCTGATACCGATTCTGAGCTTAATGCAATGAAGAGTGCTGCAATGGAAGCTGGCGCCTTTGATGCAGTTGTGTGCACTCATCATGCGCATGGAGGAAAGGGAGCGGTGAGTAGACACTCTCCCCAATTCATGTGTAATGAGAGAGAGAGAGAGAGAGAGAGAGAGAGAGAGAGAGAGATATGCAAGTGAGGTGTTCTATATAGAGCCTGACTCTGTGCTTGTACAGTGTGCGCACACTGGGTTTTGTGTGTGTGTGTGTGTGTGTGTGAGAGAGAGAGAGAGAGAGAGAGAGAGCACCAGTAACAAGTTCTTGACTGTTTCTGTTGCTCCAAACTCTGCAGGTTGATCTGGGAATTGCAGTTCAAAGGGCGAGCGAGAATCAGAAACAGAGCCTACAATTTCTATACCCACTGGACATTAGCATTAAAGAGAAGATAGAAGCAATTGCGAGATCTTATGGAGCTGCAAGTGTCGAGTACTCAGAGCAGGTAAAATCCTTCCTATGGCACTTAGATCCCTATCCAATTTTCTGACTACCTAGTTTGGCTGAATTGACTTTTTATGAAAACATGCATGAAGTAATAGAAAGTTATAGAATACAAAGATTTTTTAAAAAAAGTGTTATCTTTCTAATATTTTGGAAAACGTGAATAATTTGATGAGATGTGATTGTATTATGATAAGTGTGTTTAACTTTCTGGCGTTGAAGTCGGCCTCTTGAGAAGGATATGAGTTGATAATTTTGAAACTTAGTAACATTGAAATTTGTTGAAGTATGTAACATACAAAAAACGTTACAAACACAAATGTCCTGCATCAGTCCATCAGGGAGCAAGAAAGTGAGTGTCCAATGCTTCCATATCCGTGAGAATGAAGATCAACTAAACTTGATACAGAACATTAAAGATATGGCGAGGGCCACGCCTAATGAATCCCTTGCTAGCTTGGTGAAAAAAAGAAAAAAAAAAGAAAAAAAGAAAAGTAAAAAAGAATCCACAGCCTCCTAAACTAAGAATCCTCAGCCTCCTAAACTATGTTGAGAAGAGCTGTCGGGGTCCAGCGCTTAAGGTTTGTCTTCTCATTACCCAAGCCACGTTGAAAAGAGCCGTCTGGGTGTAATTCTTTCTAACATTGTCTTTCTAAATCATATTCCAATTCAAAGATTTAAGACTTGGCCAAATCTTCAACTTACCCACCCAATCCAGTGACAAACCAAGCCTAATGTTCTGGAACAAACAAGTTGTGATCAAGTTGTGAATAGATTCACTCTTGCTATTTCACAAGAAGTATGTTTTGTTGATTTCACTTTTTCTATAATAAATGAGATTGCTAACTTTGTTACCTTTTCTTGAATTGATAAAGGCTGAGAAGCAAATAGAGATTTATACCAAGCAAGGATTTTCAGGGCTGCCTATATGCATGGCTAAAACCCAGTATTCATTTTCGCATAACGCATCCTTAAAAGGAGCTCCAAATGGGTTCATGTTACCCATTAGAGATGTTCGAGCAAGCATAGGAGCCGGCTTCATATACCCACTGGTAGGTACCATGAGCACCATGCCTGGTCTTCCAACACGACCTTGCTTCTTTGATATTGATATTGACACCTCGACTGGAAAGGTGAGAGGCCTTTCTTGAAGTTTTCTGTTTCTTTATTCATATTAATGTGTTGTGATTGGGTAAGAGCTCAAGTTTATGGATGCTTGAGGTCCCCAATTCACTGTTGTGTGAGAAAGATACATGATAAAGATTAATAAAAAGCTCTCTTTTTTCTTTGATGAATCTGTGTGCGCATTTGTGTCACGTGTACAGTCTACCAAAGCGTCTAGTAAATTGAAAACCTGATGTTGAGTACTTGTGATATGGAATTTTTTTGTTGTAGTGTTTGCGATGAGCAAAACCCATTACCCATGACTTTTTCATAGTACAGCGTGAGACATTGTTGCACAGTTCACCAAGCCCATGTAGAACTGGATGAGATGGCTTCATATTAGTCAGCCATTGGCTAGAATCTGGAAATCTTATGAAATGTTTTTCTCTTTGGAATTTCTCTTAGGAAGGGATATATTCTTATTTTGGGAAGGTCAAAACTCATTCTATTCAGTTAACTGCTCAAACCAGAGATGAGATAACTATCTTAAGATTGAGAGCCATTCTCTTAGGCGCCATTTGAACATACCACTACTCATGCTTACGCCTCATTTCTAACTGAAACAAGAAAGAATATTTTGGCCCCAATTTGTTCCACTCGGGCCTCATGGTTATGTGCTGTTTCATAATCCCGAATATGTGAAAAATGTTGCAAAACCCAGAAAAAATTAGTGAATTTAATAAAAATAAAACCTGTTCTGCTTCAATTTACAATAAGTACTAGTAATCATACTATATACAAGTGAATAGGCAGTATGTCCAAATGAGGCCTCAACAGTGAATGGTTAACAAGATTATGACCATCATGACATCATCATCATCATCATCATCCATGATAAGGATGTGGCAAAATATTTCTGTTGGATAAGCATCATGGTATACTTGGTGGATTTTTGAATTATCTGATGATTTTTTTTGATACCTCAAAAGAGTCTTCCATTTTTGTTTTCTTCTTAGCTCAGTTTCCTGTCCTTCACTTGACTTATAATTGGACTTTTTATGAATTCCCAGCGTCTTATATATTAGGGGTTATGCACTTGTTCATTTACCTCAAGCCTGGATGTTCATGGAGATAGAAGGGACCAACCAGAACGTGGCATGACATATATAATGGGTCCTGCTTTTCTCCATCACCGTCGAATTCGCATTATGAAATGGTGATGGGCCTCGTAAGTGCCTATCCTGCAAGTGATATGCTGGTGAGGCTCGGCGTATTAGGGCTGGCAGCTGGCCGGGCCAGCCCTGTTCCCCCGAGGGCTGGCCCAGATGGGGCCAAACGGGCCCTCGCCAGGCCTTGCCCTGGCCGGCTAAATAAAATAAAAAAGAAACAAAAGAAAAAGATAAAGAAATAAGGGCTGGCCTTGTCTAAGCCCTGGCCTAGGCCCAGCTGGCCATCGGGCCACATTTGTGGCCCAGGGCCTAATTTTTTAGGAAGGGCCCGGCCGGGCCCCCCAGCCTGTTTCCACCCTCAACCATATATGGACCCGTGGGAGAGCTAGGGGCTGCTTGGACATTGCAACAACTTTTGACAGGGCAAAGAGAACAACTGAATTGGGGTTATTTGAGATATAGGGGTAAAGATGGTTTTTCCCATTTTCCCGGGGCAGAGATAATGGGCCCTCCCTGTTGACGTAAACGCGGGAGTGTGTAACGATACTCGTACAAATCGAGTGGACCAACGGACCATTTCTACTATTTCCCATTACAAATAAATCGAGGAGTTTGTCCAAACTCCCCTTTAAGATTCATGCTGACTCAAAACTGTTTTGATTTACCATAGCGCCTTCTCTAATGGGTTGAACGCAGAGAAGGTTAAAAAAAAAAAAGGAAAAAAATGATCTATTTTTGGTTCCACACTTCGGTAACAGACATATCAGAAAAGTGAACAATAAACCAAAGAACCGAGGAAAACCGATATATCAGAAAAGTGAACAATAAACCAAAGAACGGGGGAAAACCGATAAGAAGGGTGAAATAATGGAAAAGGTCAATTATTAGAGAACAAAAAAAAAAAAAAAAGCCCTCTCATCCCTAGGGAGGATACTATCCATTTCCTCCCTCGACTAAAATACATGTTATAGATTTTTTTTTATCAAAAATTTTGGGATGTAATTTTTACAATTGTACTGGCAATCTTTTTTTTTTTTTTGAAATAAGTTCTTAATGTACTAGAAAAAAAACTTATGCTTCAAGATTAAACCTAGATCGTAAACGGTACTGACTAGGACCAGCGAATTGGCATTCCTATCATAAACAGCGATGACCTTGAAAATTCTATTGGTGACAAATACGAAGGCTGCGTAAAGAAGAGCAAAATTTCCTCAATCGCTCTCTTTGTGACGTACGAGACCACGTGACGATTGACAGCATTATGATAAGTCATGCATTGGCTAAGATTTTGGGTCCTTTTTTATTTGGGTGTGGTTTGCGTACTGCTGAGGCCCTAAAGGCGCACCTTTAAATGGTATCTAGAGTTGTCGTTTTAGTATCGAAAATTTTTATTTATAGGAAAAAGTTTATATAAAGTCGTGTTGAGTTTATGCGGTCTTTAAAGGCATTATGAGATCTTGTATACAGTGAAATATAAATTCAATGGGAGTATGGTCCTTTTGTGGACTATACTAAACAAATGCAATTTGCCGATACTTGGACTTGGCTTGACGTGCTAGGCCAGCCGAGTTGGAAAACCTAGGTACTTGGGCATATAGATAAAACTGATGAGGGTTTAGTAGGTTAGCCCTTGATGAGGCTGGAGTATGCCCAGATGAGCGCTGACATGACTAAAACCTCATCGTTGTATCATTACTCGACATGTATATAGATAACCATATTGAGATAGTAATCCATCATTGATGGTGAAGCGTTTACTTGTACGAGAGATTACCTCTATGCACCATAGAGTCATAGTTGCATCATGGTTTGTCTATAGAGGAGAACTTGAAATCCACTGACTTAGATTACGTCCCCTAGCCCATTGATTGACTTTGGTGGTCTAATCATGAGCCCCTGCAGTAGATTGTAAGTCATGAGAACTTCTGGGTCAAGTTGAGAAAGCGAGTGTGGATCATGGTGCCTAGTTGAATGTGAATTGCTCTTATGTATTGATTAAATCCTAGACCTATTCGGATCCGGATCCTGTCGAAATTAATTTAATTTAATTAATTTTATATTATTTGATTTTTAGAATGTTTATTTGAATTTTTATGAATCCTCTGATGTTTTAATTTTGTCATTTGAATTTATAAATCAAGAGAAATTCATTTCTAAAGTTTTAAATAAACTAAGAGGTTTTAAAAATCTAAAAATCAATTTTTATTGTTTCTAAAATATGTGGGATCCTCCATAATTATTGGAGGCATATTGAAATCACATAGGGCAATTGGGTGGGGCCCATGAGTGGCCACCAAAGGGTGGCACGCCCCACCCATAGGGGATTGCCTTTTCTTGCTAAATATTGCGAGAGGCATCTCATGTTAGTTGGCTTTTTATTTCTGAAGAGAAGCTTACTTGCATTAAGGAATGAAAATATTGAGTTTTAGAATATCTTATTAATAAAAAAATTGGATTTGAAAAATAAAAAATGAATATTTACTAATAAAGAAAGTAAAGAGATAATTTTCTTATTTAACTTATTTGATGGGAATAAGTTTAAGAAGTGGAGGGTAAAGTTCTAGCACATTCTTTAGCATCTTGATGATGAATCTAGGGAATAGATGACTCAAATCTCTCACCCCACACAAGTCTTCTTAGATCGACGGTCAAGATTTATTTCTACAATTTTATGGCAAACCCTAATACATGAAAAATCTATAAAATGGATAATTCTCATCCTTTTCTCTTTACAACACTTACTTACTCTCTCTTCTCTCTCTAAAATAGAGTATATCTCTCTCTAGCCTCTCTAAGGGGCACACCCCACATAGCTTACTCTCTCTCCAAGAAACCTAAAGAGCTACGCCCCACCTTAGCCTATCTCTCATTCTCTCTCTCACACACTATCCTCCGGGGGACACGTCCAAGCTAGGCTAGGTTAAGCTTGAATCTCTCTCATGAGTTCTAAATCAAACTAGGTTTTGGTTATGTGATTTTGTGGGCCGCAAATGGATCGTCCCTAGCTAGTAGTTTTCTCCTTCCTTTCTTGATCTCTATTTTTCATAACGATCAAGCCAAGGGGTTTGAATTAGACCTAAGTATTGAGGCTTTAGGTGGGTGGTTCTAAATTGGGATCCATGCGCATTGTTTGGGTTTTACCATAAGAAAGAGAAATCAAGAGACCGATAAAAAATCCCAAACACCATTGGAAGCAAGAGACTTGGCGTGGAGTGTACTAAGCCCGGTTGAGGTAATCTCTGACACCTCTTTTGTTTCTTGCATCTTTATTTATTAGTGAAAATATCCTCGTACCCCATTTTTTTGGTTTTCATATATCAATAGACCCAAATATTCAAATATATCTCTTAAACCCCTGATTAACTTACCCACTTTTGACTATTTTTTTAGCTTTAACAAATATAAAAAAGACATGCTCATTCTAAACCCTTCATCTCTTTTTGTGATATATTCCCCCCAAATCTCTCTCTCTAACATTCACCCTCTTTGTCTCTCTAATGGGAAAAAGAGAGTGAGACACGGGAGGAGGGAGAGTGAGAGACAGGGATGAGAGAGTAGGAAAATAAGTAGAAAGTGAGATTTAGGAGAAAATCACATGAAAAGAGAGAAATGATGGTATTTTGAAAGGATATATCTTTTTTATATTTATTTGGCGTAAAAACATAGGTTTAAAGGGGATAAAGTTAGCTTAGGGGGTTAAAAAATATAAAACTTAGAATTTTTATGACCCGTTTTGAAACTTTGGGTCTCTTGAGATATAAAATTTAAAAATGGGAGGTATGGAGATATTTTCCCTATCTATTATACATTTTATTTCTAAGCATAGGTTGTACCGTTTCTTTGTTAATGAAAAGTGTGTTTTTAAATGGGATCTACATCATTTAGCACTTGAATCTCTAATGGGCTCTAAATCAAACTAGATTTTGGTTATGTGATCCGATCAGCTGATCTAGTTGATAACTACGAGATATTTCCACAAACTACCGTACATTTAGCCAAAATTATTATGGTCAAATTTTGAC